CTAACATATTGATACTAACACCCAAAAAACTTTAATTTTGATTTCATGGGGACTTTAAGTTTTTGAGCAGTTTTACAGGGATTCCATCATTTCTTCAGCATTCGATCACTTCTCTTCCTTACTGCACTCTCTCTTCGCCAAAGCATTATGGGAAATGTATTCTTGAAGCATGTACAGTTTCTTACCTCTGTGAAGAAACTGTAACAAATGTGCCTCTTTATTCCATCTTAGCTCTACCAAAACTAACACAATCGCTTCTTCCTCAAGATAAATGTGCCGCTACTGTCATCTAGTGGTTAGTCTATAGAAATATAATGACATCTAAACAGCAATCATATCAAGGCAGCTTAGACCGTTTATTATTCAATATTTATGACTACTATTATTTTAATTAATTAATAACAGGGGATGCTTAAAGTGTGCATGGCAGGTATTTGCTGCATGCAGCTGCATTTACTCTTCAGATCTAAATATTTGTTAAAGATACAGTGCATCTAGTGTGACTTAGTATTATGAATAAATTGACTGATGTATTTGTGTCTGCAGATTTCCATGATCAGAATCTGCCCATCACAAAAACAAACCTGTTTTCTGGTAATAACGTGACAGGAACTGTCCTGTGTGAAACCACAGATAAACCAGACTCTCACAGGTGTTGCATTATGAAGAGCTAAACAGTTGAGTTGGCAAGCTGATGCACCATGATCACACTTCAGCTATTGTTTCCCACAATACACACAGACAGACATTTGTAATGATATAAATAACCTTCCTTGTCACTTGGTTTGTTGTCTGACTGTGAGCGACTGACTTTTCTGATCTTCTCCTCTCATCGTTGCTCCTGAACTTCTGAAAAGTAAAGATAAAGAGACACACACTATTCTCAGCTAATTTTGGGGTCAGTATAGGTCAAGGTCAATATATCAGTGAACATCACAGGTTTAATTGCATATTTGACAGAAAATACCTTAAATTTAAAACTGGTCATGTAAAAATTTGGTGAACACTTTTATTGTGCAGCATATTACTGTGATGCATTTAGCATTTGTGAAACTCTGTTTCTTGTCTTTCAGCATCTGCTCTTCACTAGATCATCTGAGGGATTTGACTGAATCAAGATGCTGCTGATCATTAAAGCTCTTCTTCTCCTCGTTATAGCTGCTCTAGGACAGGTAAGCTTGTGTTCTAGTATGAATATTACAGACATGAATACTGACGATTGATCATTATGATTCCTGTTGCTGCAGGATCACAGAGCTGCTGCTGAAGGACAGATATTTTCACTGGATATGGCACTGAATTCAGTTGATGATCAATATAAGGGCTGTAGAGAGAAAATGGCTGACCTGGTGGAGACAAAATATATGAAGCAAGAAATGTCTAACCCCAAATCTAAATTTGCAATTGCTTGGAAACTTGCTGAAAAGAAATACAAGCCACCAGGAGATAACTTGACAAAGAATCATTCAATTGCTATTTATGTGTACACTAACTCAGGTTTTGGGGTACATAAGAAGTTTAATGAAGCTGATCGTAATGACAAGAACAGATACAAAAACTAAACATACAAATGGTATTCACTTCACTTTCTGTTAACAGATGCGATACAGATTCTGAAGAAAACACAAAAGAAATGCTATTCAACTTATCGTGGTACAAATCTTAAATTTATACAGAATGTTCGGAACAAAAAAGTTAGTTTTGGATCATTTACTTCTTCCTCTATGAATCGTAACAAAACAAAGTTTTTTGGAACTGTATCTTGTTTTGAAATCAAAACTTGTGAAGGTGCTGATCTAACAAAATATTCAAAGCTTCCTCATGAGGAAGAGGTGCTGATTCCTCCATATGAGATGTTTAAAGTCACTGCTGTCAAGACAAGAAGAGGTCAAACAGATCTCTGGTGTGACACCGTGTACACTTTGAAAAACTCTGGTAAGAGAAGTGACCTCAACTGTGCTCTATTCAATAAACCAGCCAAGACCATAACAAAATACTATGCTGAGCAGTGAACAGTGCTTTAAACTTCCACATGAATCGATGTAAAACTGTTTTCCTCTCGGTTTAGCTCAATAATAATTCTTTGTCAGAAAACACAATTTGTTCATAATAAAGCTCATTTTAAGTGACCCAATTTAGTCGCCTCAAAGTGATTTCATGTGTCTTCATTATACTTGCATCTAGGGATATGCCGGTATAAAATTTTCATGTTGCGATTAATTGCTAATGCTTTTATCACGGTATACGGTATTATCACGGTGTTGGAATTTAGTTTGAAAAAGTGCTGTCATAATACAGTATAACAGGTTTAATAACTTTTTTCTTATAACAATAATAGCTGAACATTTAAATGCAATAAAGCAATACAGAAAAATGTATAAAGCTAAAAGTTTTACACAGATTAAAGTGCAAAAGAACTATAAAGACCAATAGGTATCCCTTTACAATAAGACCTCATTAGTTAACCTTAGTTAATGCATTAACATTCACAATGAGCAATAGCTACATTTGCTACAGAAGTTATTAATTATTAGTTATTAAGTCTTAGTTCATGTTAGCTCATTAAATAACACAGTTGCAACTTTCGATTTTAACAACGTGTTATTAAATATTGGAATACCTAAGATTAATGAATGTTCAGAAGAATTTTTCATTGGCAGTTTATGTTAACTAATGAAGCCCTAATGTAAAGTGTGACCGAACAATAAAGAATCAAAACACTTTCAAACAATATCTAGGGCATGTTGTAGTCCAGATTAAAATGTAAAAAAAGATTGAAAATAAATAGCCTATTAGGTCTAAATATTTAAGTATTTGGCGCTGTGATAAACATCATTGCAAATACACAAATCTGAATGGCTGTTTAAATCATTTAAACACGATTCAGAAACAGAAAGTAGAGCAACTGCTTTGTTTACAGGGTTTCATTTAAATAAATTATTATTATTATTATTTCTGCAGTTTAGCGCCATCTGCTGTCAGAGAGTGAAAGTGCGCTTTCATCCAGAGCGTCTCTCACATGTTCCGCCATGCGCTTCTCGTCCGCGCTTGTTTACATCAGTGCGCACGCGTCTTTCACGCAGCATACAGCGATGTTGTGCATTTTGACCAGTTGATGGGAAAAGTATTCTTAAAATGCATTCAAAATTCTGAATAATTTGTAATATTTGCATTTGTATTTGCATGAAAAGAACCCATTCATTGCTATTAAAGTGAAATTACTGAACCTACACATAGGAGTCTGATAAAAACTTAGAGGCTTTTGCATCTGAACTCTTCATGCATAAAGAGCCTGGGAGCTAAATGACCAATAGCTGCTATAATTGTGCAATGAGATGCATCTCTTCATGTGAGGAGTGTCCGTCCATTACATTTAGTCAAAAATGTTATTGCTAGCGATCAGTTACATGTAATGGACAAGATTTAACTTTAATTAACAAAATGTTAAGTTTTAATGGACTTATTCTAGTCTTCTTATATGAATTTAATTGTGTAGAAACAATTTCCACAATTTAATTAAGTTGATAAAACAATTTGTTGAGAGTATGCTTTTGAAATATATGTAGGTTACACAAGTCTCCTATTACTCATCAGGCAGACAGGAACTCAGAGTTTGTCCTGCTTGAAACCACAGAGGCCTTCACAAGTGTTGCATAGATGAGCTTGATGCATCAAGATTAATTCAGCCCTATATTGATCTCACAGTGCCTGAAGTATGTTTCGAAATATTCAAATTTGCTTTGTGGTACCACAAATCGGAAAATATGAATCTGAACAAAGAGGCTCATTTTGGCTTATTTGCAGCATCGTCTCTTGATCGTAACAGAGTCAAATATTTTGAATCTAAATATTGTTTTGAACTCTAAGGAGCTGTTGTGGCAAAATATTCTAAGTGAGAAAGAGGTGCTAATTCCTCCATATGAGAAATTTAAAGGCATTGCCGTCAAGAAAAGATATCAGAAAGATCTCTGGTGTGAAAAGCTGTGGTAACCTGAACTGTGCTCTATTCAAGGAACCAACCAAGACAATAACAAAAGACTGGCAATGAAAGTACTGAACAAAGTGTGTTGAATCTAAGATATAAGTACACAAATTCCAACATTTGTCCCTCTTGGTTTAGTTTAATAATTCTTTGTCTGAAAACACTATTTGTTTGCATAATTTTAACATTATTAATTCAAGTTATTTTTAAGTGGCCCAATTCAGTGGCCTCAGAGTGATTTTATATATGCCTCTAATTCATTTTTTAAATGATTATTTATGCTTACATCTCTTTGTATCTCATCACTGAACATTTTATTGCTTTTTATCTACCTAACTGCCAGCAATAGCACATTAACTGCTGAATGACTTCTTGAGTGCAATGCTGCTTTTTAATCAACACAAAGTTTTTGTTTCTTGTTTAATTCCATTTTTTTAAATATTATTTTACTTAATATTTTTAATCTTAGTCATGTTGGAGATTGAGAAGAGCTTCTGTCATGTTGGAGTTTTTCTGGTTTTCATTTAGCAGAAGAGTGAAGCTTGTGGTTTTGTTGTGGGTGGCCTCATTAACACTGTGACACTTTAAAATGAGCAATAGCTGCTAAAACCTGCACAATGACGAGTCTCTTCTTAGGTGTTCATCCCATTGCATTCATTCAAAAATAAATGATGCTATCTAGTAGAAAAATGGAAAAGATTATTCTCAATAGTAAACAACTGAGAAATTATTAAATGAATGTACTTATACATAAAGCTCATATTACTCATCTTGAGGAACAGAGAGTTTGTCCCACATGAAACCACAGACCTTCACAAGCCTACTGCATTGTCAGATGGGCTTAATGCAACAAAACTATTTCAGCTCTATACTGATCTCACTGTCAAATATGCTTCTGAATGTGAATATTAGCTTTGTGGTACCACGAATCTGAAAACTGGACAAAGCCGAGGGTTTCAGTGGATACTATAGTGCACACATGATTGGCAGTTAAATCTCCTTCTTGCCAAGACTTTTTTATTTTTATTTAAATGGAGTAGGTAAATATCAGATGTTGATCAAATCTGACATTCATCTTGGATGAGAACTCCAGAGAAGTTTGTCCAGTGTAAAAAAAACACATAGAACAGATCATTACAAGTGATAATCAGATGAAATCATTTAGATGGCCTGGATGCATCACAATCATGCTATTTACACAGATTTTCAGCACTATAAAAAGGAACCTATCTCATCCCTTAGTTTGAAGAGTCGTTGCCATCTGACTATGAACTACTGATCTTCTCATGTTGTTGTTGCTCCTGAGCTGCTGAAAAACATTGAAAAGATAACTCAGAATCTGACAAAAAGAGACAACATTATGATAAACATTTCAATTGGACAGATCTAAGTACACATTTCTTTCCATTATATTTCAAGGCACAGATTCAGTATTTGTGAGACAATTTTGTGTTTCTTGTCTTTCAGCATCTGCTCTTCACTAGATCTTAATCAAGATGCTGCTGATCACTGAAGCTCTTCTTCTCATTTTAGCTGCTCTAGGACACGTAAGCTTGTGTTCTAGTGTATGAATATTACAGACATGAATACTGATGATTGATCGTTATGATTCCTGTTGCTGCAGGACAGATATATATATATATTTATTGTATAAGACACTGTATTCTGCTGATGGCAATTATAACGGCTGTACAAAGGAAATGGCGAATCTGGTGAAGACTAAATACCTAGAGAAGGAAATGCAATCTAATTTAGCAATTGCTTGGAAACATGCTGAAAAGAATTACAAGCCACCAGGAGATAACTTGAAAAAGAGCCATTTGATCGCTATTTATGTGTACACTAACACTAAGTTTGAGATATGGATTTCAATAATGCTGTTGAATGCATAATGAAAAAATACCAAAACAAGACATTCAAATGGTATTCACTTCACTTTCTGTTAACAGATTCAGTACAGACTCTGAAGAAAATACAAAGAGGATGCACCAATGTTATTGTACCAATATTTTAATGAGAGTGTTCTGAACAAAAAGGGTAGTTTTGGCTCATTTGCTTCTTCCTCTTTTAATGACACCAAAACAAACATTTTTGGAAATAAATCTGGTTTTGTAATCTACACTTGTGAAGGTGCAAATTTGACAAAATATTCTAAGCATGACAAGGAGGAAGAGGTGCTGATTCCTCCATATGAGATGTTTAAAGTCACTGCTGTCAAGACAAGAAGAGGTCAAACAGATCTCTGGTGTGACACTGTGTACACTTTGAAAAACTCTGGTAAGAGAAGTGACCTCAACTGTGCTCTATTCAAAAAACCAGCCAAGACCATAACAAAATACTAGGACTGACAATTAAATACTGGACAAAGTGTTTTGAATTTATGGTATAGGACACCAATTGCAACATTTGTCCCTCTTGGTTTAGTTCAATAATTTTTTTGTCAAAAGCAATTTGAACAGAAAACATGATTTGGTTGCATAATTTCAACATAATAAAATAAAGTTATTTTTAAGTGACCCAACTCAGTGGCCTCAGAGTGATTTTATGTTTTATGATTTTTATGTCTGTAATTTATTACTTTTTACACTTTTTTTTTATTATTTACACATCTTTTTTTGCATCACGTTTCTGAATTTTTTTAGTGCTTGCCATTTAGCTAACTACCAGCAATAGCATAATAACTATACAAAAAATACACAGTATATATTTTTATTTAATATACATTTTTATTTATTTATATATTTTTCATCTAGTCATGTTTGACTGATAAGAGTTATTCTTAGTTGGAGTTTTTGTGGTTTTCATTGTGCAGAAGAGTGAAGCTTGTGGTTTTGTTGTGGGTAGCTTTATAAACTCAGACCTGTGAAAAGATGAGTCTCTTCTTAAGTGTTCATCTCATTACACTCAAAAATGTTGCTAGCTAGCAGATCAATAGAGAAGATTAATTTCAGTAGTAAATAATTGAGAAATTGCAATTAATTAGATTTGTTTAATAAGAAATTTATTTAAAGAAAGTTTTTTTCGACCTCATATAACAAACTTTAATGTTA